ACCCCACCCCACCAGCGAGCAGGCTGGGGGGGCACGAGAAGCTGGGAGGGGGCACAGCCGGGACAGCTGACCCCAACCGACCAAAGGGATATTCCACACCATATGACGTCACGCTCAGCATATAAAGCTGGGGGAAGAAGGAGGAAGAGGGGGATGTTTGGAGTGATGGCGTTTGTCTTCCCAGGTAACCGTTACACATGATGGAGCCCTGCTTTCCTGGAGATGGCTGAACACCTGCCTGCCCATGGGAAGCAGTGAAGGAATTCCTTGTTTTGATCTGCCTGTGTGTGCAGCTTTTGCTTTACCTGTTAAACTGTCTTTATCTCAACCCAGGAGTTTTCTCACTTTTACCCTTCCAATTCTCTCCCCCATCCCACCGGGGGGGAGGAAGTCAGCAGCTGTGTGGTGCTCGGTTGCCAGCTGGGGTTAAACAACGACACCCGACGGGCCGCGTGAGGTCTGGTGGCTGTGACGGCCGGCTGCTCTCTCTCCAGCCCGGGGAAGGAGAGCTCTGGCGCTGTGTGCTGCAGCACACAGAAGGGAGAGCTGCCGCAGTCAGCTGAGAGTAACTTTCCAACGGGAAAACAAAACAAAAACCACTTTGCAGCTTTGATGAGAAGGTGTTAAACGCACCACCGCCACGAGGGAGGATTACACAGGCTGTTAGAGGATCCGGCCCTCCGCTAAGAGGGTGTTTTTAACAGTAAACAAACACAAACATATTGCTTGTTGCAATGTCAGCAGCAGTCTGATCAGACACTCGAGCATCTTTCCTTGGCATTTATCGCCGATCTGCTGTCAGTCAAGAAAAGCAGTCTCCTCCTTACATGTGAGGGAGTAGCAGCCGGGAAGAGCACGAAGATAAATCAGCTTAACTCTGCCCCATCCCCAGGTTTCACCGCCGCTGGCACAGCCGAGAGGTCTGGGCATTTCCCCAAGCGCCTCATCAGCTCCAGGGACAATGGCGGGGCAGAGTGTGGTGAGACCACCAGGAGAAGGGGAGGGGAGGAGGACGGGACGTGTAAACCCGGCACCGTCCCGGCCCGTGCCGGGCGCTCGGCCCGTGAGAAAGCTCACAGTGATGCAAGGCAAGCGCCCGAGCACCGTGGAAGCAGGTGAACTCTTAGCTGTGAAGGCATCGGGTTGCACGAGCAACGCACCGTCTCCCTCCCGCACCCCCGATTCAGGTAAAATCCCTTCTCTAAATGCTGGTACTGTTTCCCCTTGACTTGACGAAGCAGAGCGTCAGGTCCAGCGGGAGCTCGCCGCCACAGGGAGCGACCGGGAAGAG